AGTTTGAGGATTAAATTTTTTTTATGTTTTTTAAGCTCAAAATAGGAGGGGTCGTATTATACATGAATAAATACGGTAAATACTACGAGCAGAAAGCAGGAGATATGCGGCCGTGCAGCCACTTTGAAGCTAGACTTGAATGTTTTATCAGCACATGTTCAGTGTTGGTTCTTCCTGCTTTAATCACACATTCAGTGGAAAACAACCTGAAATGTTATTTTATTTTAAAAGCTGTTATTTATCTAAAATCTTAGGTGAGGTTAATGTCTACATTAAAGCCACTTGTTCTGGTTGAAATGAGAGTTGGACGTTGTGAATTGAAAACTGTTTGAATCTCAGGTTTGTCACCTCTGAAGAGAAGAAGCAGCAGGGTTTCCAGCGGGACAACGAGGTTCTGCTTCAGAGGCGCAAAAATCAGGTCCAGCCCGGCGGAGCAACGCTGAGCGTCACGGTTCCGTATCGAGTCATCGACCAGCCGCTCAAGCTGGCTCCGCAGGACTGGTGAGCGTTTCATTAATAACGTAGTTCCAAACAGAAACCTGCTGTTCAGAGGAMGGTTTGAGTCCAGCAGTGAGGTTTCTTCAAAACAGGAAGCTGTACGAGCCAGAAATCGACTTGCTTCGAATACTGCCTGTTTTATGTTGCAGACAGTGCTAAAATCATTAAAAAATATTATTGTCTTGTTAATCTAAGCTCATGACTTTTTTATAATGACTGTTGTAAAGCTGAGTTTACTAAAAAAGAAATTCAACACTTAACATTCAGCTCATTCATCGCATTTAATCACTAAAAAGTCACCATAAACTTGTAATTGCTGACGGTCACATTCAGAGCTATGATTGGATGGTTCATAGAAATGTTTGTGTAGCTGGGATACACAAACAGAACCTCTGGGGACAGTATCGTCTYRTTGCCTAAACCAAACCCAGGCTTCTGTGGTCTCAATTCAGGGGCTGCAGCCTACCTAGACCACTGCCCACAGAGGCCACACCCTTCACAGTCCACGCAGGCTGCATAACACTGCTGTGAAATGAGACGGTCCAGTCTTCAGACTTATGACCCATTACCATGATGAAGTTTTTACATGACGTGCCTTTRATGTGTTGGGACATGTATTCACTTGTCTTTTCACTGGAGGAACAACGTTACAGTTAKAAATGTTAAATGTAAATAAATAAGAACATTAATAATTTGGGTTTAGCTCCAGTATCAGTTCTTGTTGCTGCATTTTATTTAACATCTCATTGCAGCAAAAATTTCTTAGCTAAGTTGTTAAACTTATGTTTAGGGTTTCCTTTGATGTGGTTTGCATTCACATTGTGCTTTTTGCAAGCAGACTATAATTTATAAACAAWGCCATACGGTGACCGTCATTGCTCCCATTGGACAGAAATGACAGGGCCAGGACTGCACAGACCAGGAAATAAAGATGGTGTTCTTATGTTGTTATTAAGACTGTGCAGCTCGTTTAACGGTGGTTTCATGATGATATGCAGTTAGGTCCCTATATATTTGGACAGAGACGGTGTTTTTCTAATTTTGGTTCTAGACCACAATGAATTTTAAACAAAACAATTCAGATGCAGTTGAAGTTCAGACTTTCAGCTTTAATTCAGTGGGTTGAACAAAATGATTGCATAAAAATGTGAGGAACTAAAGCCTTTTTTAAACACAATCCTTCA